TGTATTTGAAGCTATGGGGAAGGAAGGAAGGAAGGAAGGAAGGAAGGAAGGAAGGAAGGAAGGAAGGAAGGAAGGAAGGAAGGAAGGAAGGAAGGGAGAAATAAAGTCTGATAAATCGTTATTCCTCTGACTTCCCATCCCCCCCACCCCCAATCCCCGTCTCTCTCTTTTGATCAGCAGACATTTTTTTTTAAAGAACCACTCACTCACCTGGTGAATTTTATCGGCGCATCTGTCGAAATAGAGACCGAGCCTGGCGTTGGGCGAGTCGTCGATGTGTATCTGGATGCTCTCCAGGTTGGGCATCTGCAGGTTGGGAATCTCCAGCGTCAGGTTGATGATGTGTGTGATGCCCAGAGAGCGGATCCTCTCCCCCTTGACGGCCGCGGCGCTGCTCAGGTACAGGCAGTTGGTGATCTCGGCGATCTGCGAGAACATTGCGAGGTCCATGTTGCTACCACAGGCTCCTGGGGAGGGTGAGATGGAGGTAAGTAAGATAAGATTAGGAGACGTGACGTAAAATTGGGGTAGGTGAAATTAGGAGACGTGACGTAAAATTGGGGTAGGTGAATTGAAATGAGATGAGGTGAGATGAGAAGAAAGGAAAAGAGAGAGGAAAAGAAAAGAGTTGAGAAGAGAAGAAAGATGAAAAGAGGAGGAGAGAAGAAAGATGAGAAGAGGAGAGATGGGAAGAGAAGAGAGGGGTGAATTGAGATGAGATGAAACGAGAGAGGAGAAAAAGGAGAGAGATGAGAAAAGAAGAGAGAGTAAAGGAGAGGAGAAGAGAACAGAAGAGGGGAGAAAATGAAAACAATGTATAGGCTCCTGACAGCAAGGCAAGGCAAAGCAAGGCAATGTAAGGGTTAGGTTCGCCGGAAGGGGGAGGGGGGGGGTTCAAGCCTCAGCTTGGTCCGACGACGTTGTGCTGTCCCCGTGGTTTTATGCACCCCGCATAATTTAGCAAATTTTGATAATTTTTTTGCATAATTTCTGATTATTTCCCTTTACCATTCTTTGTTAAAAATAACAAAATCGCAGAATTTCACAGTCTTGGGCTCATTTTGCATAATTTCAAAATTTTTCTTGCATAAAACGACGGGGACAGGTTGTGGCCTTGGGAAAGGTACTATACTCGAATATCCCATCTGGCACGGTCCTTTTGGAGACGGACGTTAAACTTAAACTCTGATGTCCCGCCTTTTAAACAACCTAACAGTGTGGATAAGGGCATTAAACCTATGCCATTTCACAATTTTCACAATTTAAATTTTAATTATTTAAGACGTGAGTTGCTCCGAAACTGTCTACCAGAGCCAGTCCAAGCTGAGAGGGGTATCCGAGCAGAACGAGAGGAACAACACACCGACTCGCGCCTTTTGCGAGAAACAATGATGAACATAACCATTACACAACAGACGCCACTCAAAACAAAACAAAAAGATAAGGGTAACAGATACAGCGACTACACACAATACAAATAAACTCGGTCAACACAGCGGTGCCCATCAACCACTTGAAAGCCATTCTGTTAAGCCCGAGATATACATTGGAGAAGTTAAGTAAAGAAAAGCTCATCGACACAATGACGCTCATCAGAAGCAAGACAGACACACAGACAGACACACAGACAGAAAGACAGACAGAACAAACGGACAGACAGACAGACAGACAGACAGACAGACAGAGACAGACAGACAGACAGACAGAGAACAAACGGATAGACAGACAGACATACACACAGACACACTGACAGAAACGACAGAGAGGAAGAAAAGAAGTAACATACACCAACCACCCATTCAGATAGAGTTTAAAAAAAGAAGGTGTTGAACCTTCCAGAGGCGCTCTCCAACCTCCCGCGAAAAGGAAAATGGACACGTGTTTAAGCTTGAACTTGAACACAAAAGAACACAAAGACTGCCTTGTGCTGAACACAAATAAGTGCAGGGCGTAGTTTTAGTTGTTGATTTTTTTTCTATTCAGATTTTTAAGTCACGTGCAACGCAGTAACATCCAACAAGAGCTGAAGAATAGAGGTTTTTCAAGAGAGTAACAAGCACACACACACACACACACACACACACACACACACACACACACACACAAACACAAACACACACACACACACACACACACACAC